TAAAACAAGTAAGAGAAATTACGTAGGTCTAGCATTACCCAGGTTTCTACTGATCCGTGCAATCCCATGGACGAGTTGCGCATTCCATGAGAACTGCTCCAAGCACTTGAGCCTACGTGCTAAACTAGCTAACCAGAAACAGAAAATGACTTAACAGAAAAGGATTGAGCTACCCCGGCAACCAAAAAACGGCTGCCACGGCAACCGGTCCAGTGACACTGTTGGGTTATTCAACATTTCTCCCCCTGAGCCAGTAGCGGCTTGATCATTTCACTTCGACAATGTGGATGTTCTTGCGAAGCTGGTGAAGACGTGCTTGGCTTGGCCCAGAGCCTTGGTGAAGATGTCCACGAGCTACTCGTCGGAGCTGACGAACTGGACGGTTACTGATTCGTCGTCGATGAAGTCACGGATGAAGTGATAACGCACATCGATGTGCTTGCTCCTATCGTGGAAGACATGAGTCTTGCAAAGTTAAATTGCAGACTTGTTGTCCACGTGCAGACGGGCGATATATGGATCCGTCTTTAGCAGATCACCAAGAAGCCAACCGAGCCACACACCTTGGCACGCCGCCATCGCCGTTTCTGCTTCTGGCACTGCTAAGACACCATGCAGTTTCTCAAGAAGAACAGTATGCTCGATGTGCTCTTCGGCCGTCGACGTTACCTGCCATATCATCATCGTTGTAGTCAATCAACTGAGTGTTGATGGCTATGGTGGTGGAGCTGCATCCGACCTCGGGCGTGCCCGCATGGTCAGTCTTCCCTGCACTAGCTCACCATGCCGACAACAAAGCTGATGTCCGGGCGGGTTGTGCACCGGGTATCTCTAATTTGTCGTTGTCAGTTATCGGACCACAATGGAAAACTGATGTGTGGTTAGAGAGCGAGCAACATTAATAGAGTCGAGGAGGAGCAAACATGAAGGGTGAAATTAAAGAGAATGGATTTGGATTTGTGGATGGAGAAGAAAACAACATGTTTGGTTGGAGGGAGAAAATCGGGGGGTGTACGTAAATATGACAAGCAAATTACTCATAAATTATGTATCTATACAAATGATTGAAAAGTGAGGAGTTAATTTACAAACAAAATATTATGAAAATCTAACAGATTATTCAAAGTGTCATTACCATCTTCTACATTCCATAATCGTGTCAATGGAATTGGTATAACACATCCTCCGGGTTTGCAGTGTTCAAAGGGAGTAAACACCAAAATTATAACATGTTAACAAATCATCATGTTGCATATATTGTACTATTTTCCCTTCATGATTTTTCCCTAATGATTTCTCGTAAAAGGTTTTAAATGATACTCCCTCCGTCCCATAATATAAGAGCGTTTTTTACACTAGAGTAGTGTCAAAAACCCTCTTGCATTATGGGACGGAGGGAGTACAATATAGATACAAGCTGTTCACATATGTTATATTAGTTTTTTCCTTACATTTTTTCCGCTGGATTTTAGAGGAGTTTTCAATAGCATATCAGATCGCATTCTTTACCCTTATGAGTTTCCTAACAAATTTTCTAATAATGGTTTTTAGCAAGTTTTTCCCCATCGAGGTTTATAAAGGAAAATATACATAGCATATTTATTGTTCTCTACACTAACCAATGAGTTTTCTCCCTTCTCAAAGGTTTTCTCATTTGAGCTACCAAGGAGACAATAACCATTATATGTTGCATCATTCTTTCTTATTATTTTTTCACTGGGTTGAAAGAAGTTTTAGCAACGTGTCTGTCCAATTCACCATAATTTTTTCCCACTAGGTTTTTGGAGGAGAATTTCGAGACTATACAAAGGATTTCTTAAAATGAAAGGTGAATATACAATAAGCTTTTAATGATGGATTGTTCAAGAAGCGGTGTTGTACAAGGAGAAGTGTTCTATAATGTACATATGCATCCCTTCTTTCTCTCTCACAATATGTAACGGGCATCTCTCTGTGGCGTCCCCTTTGCATCAATGAAATCCAACACGGTTCTGTCAATTACTTTCTGTTCTTCATAATAAGAATGAAAGGTTGGATTCTCCATTGATGCGGATGTGGATGTGGACAGAATCGCCCCTGTTGGTAGAATCTGCATTGAGGCATATCCATCTCCCCCATAATATAAATTGCACATTTAATTTGTCAATGTCAGTTGTCGGACCACAATGGAGAATTGATATGTGGTTGGAAACCGAGTGACATTAAACATGAAGAGAGAAACAAACAAAAATGAATATGTATTTGTGGATGGAGAAGAAAACGTCGGGATAGCTAGGAGGAAGAAAACCGGGGGTGTGCAGG